GTGGCCATCTGAAGGGCGGTGGGGCCTTTAAGAGGAGGAGCATAGTGGAATGTCTTTTGATCTTGAAGGCCTGTCCTTGGAAGGGGTTAAAATAGTGGTTCCCAAAGGATCCCAGTTACCTCTCGGTTGCTCCCTGCTTTTCTCTCTCAGCGTGTGATCGTCCCTCTTGCATGTCTTCCAGGCATGATAGTATTTGTCATGATGTGATGCAGTCAAGGGGACCCTCACTAAAGACAGCACCATGCTGTTTGGATTATCATCCCCCAAAACTGTGAGCTATAAAAAACTACTTTCTCTATAAATGAGCCATCATCAAATAGTTTGGTAAAGTAACAAATAAATGACTAATACCCTAATTCCTCTTCCAGGAATTTCCAGCAGGAATAATTCTAATGCAGTCAAACAATGCTATATGATGGGGTCAACTATTATTATTGTATGTCATTATTAAGTGACACTTATAAACAAGAATACTTAAACTGAATCTCATTTGTCTTGAAAATATGAGTCTCTAAATCAAAATATCAGCTTTGATTCTGAGGAAAGCCCACTTACGAGTTGTTATGAAGACCGAAGCTAAACATAAGAGTTGCTCACAGTGGTGCTGTCATGCTAACCGCAGTGTGAGACTTTGAATGAAGCATTTGGTTGCTTTGCGCTTGAAAGCTGGTGCATTTGGCAAGGTAGCTGGGGGGTGAGAAATAATGCTAATGGCTGATTTCTCCTGACTGTCTTAACATCTTGGCTATTAACTTCAAAATGTAGATCTGCTTATATATTTGTATGTGTGTGCATTACTGAGGACTGGATCCAAAGTATCTGCACTAAGCTATATCTTCATCATTTTTTCTTTTTTTTATTTTGAGACAGGGTCTCACAAAGTTGCTAAGTTACTCAGGGTGATCTCAAACTTGCAATCTTCCTGCCTCAGCCTCCTGTGCTGCGCTTGGCTTATATATACTTTTAAGGAGAGTGGAGTAGACAACTGTACATTATTTTGTGGACTTTTCTTATGTCTACCAGGATGCCTCTAGCTCACAATTTGCAATTCCCTTCTAAAACTGTCTACCGTTCCAACAGATCTCCATTCTTTTTTTGTCTAGGCAACAACAGAGTACAAAGGTCAAAAGTTGGTCCAGAAGCAGAATATACCACAGTTCAAATCCTTGTAGGAACTCTCACTGTACAGCCTAATTTTTTTATCTTGTTAAAATTTTGAGGGAAGTAAATAAGTGACACATAAAGAATGTCCATAATGTTAGAAGTTCAGTACATGGCAGCTGTTGTTATTATCAGCACTCCAATTGCCAAACTCTCTCTTCCTCACCCTCTCCCTCCCTCTCTCTCTCTCTCTCTCTCTCTCTCTCCCCTTCATCCTTGTCAGTCCTCCATTATATCCCGTGTTCCTTTCTCTTGGTGTTTTTGTTTGTTTATTTGTTTGTTTTGTAGTATGGGCAGCTTATGTTAGTAGTCTTACTAATATCTGTTTACCAAATGACTCTGGAAGAAGTCAAGGTCCATAGAATGAAAACCCAGTTTCTGCATACAAACTGGGAGCAGATCAGTGAGAGAAGCCTGAAAACATTACACGCTCTAATGCTCAGCACTGTTTACTGCAAAAGGCAGTTGCGTGTGAGCAGGAGGAGCGCTGTGCCCTCTTTAAAATTAATAAGTAAATGAACCAGGAGAAAGAGCTTCCAGCTGAAGTTTGTTGAGATAACTTTCCGTACGCCACACATTTCTGTGTGCTTCATATTTACCCAGCAGCCAGAATGAAGGCGACCACAAAGGAAAACTACAGAAATCACAGGGTCCTGCTAGAGTTGAGACTTAGAGTACAGCCCCTTTTCCCAAGATTTACCAGCCTGTAGTGAAAATGATCTTGATAGCCACAGCTAAAATGACATCACAGCTTCTAAAGCAGGACTTATAGGCTTCTCAGTGAAATAATCCTGGTAGTGTAAAGAGCCTAGTAGTATAAGGAGGTATCTCACACACAGCCATGAAAAGGTTCACTTTTGGTCAGACACATCAGTGCTTCATCAGATGGCCCTAAGAATCACTTTTTGGGTCTACCATGCCCCGGCCCTCAGTAGGTGGAGACTATCAGTCCTCTGCACTGTTCTCTGGGAATCACCAGGAGTCTACCAATGTTCCTTCAGTAACAGGCTCAAGGTTTGCTTTATGACAAATGAGAGCGCTCTCATCACCCCAGAACTGGGAATTGAATGTGACCATCTAGGCTGTGACCTGGGCTCCGAATATAGTTTCTTCCATTCCTGTCAGTGGCCCTCTCCCCACAGACTCAGACAGCAGCTTTCTGTCCACTTCCGTGACCATTTCCAACATGAATTACCCCTATGCATGTCAGTGAGTCCCACATTCACAGCCAGCCATGATTCACAATTTAAGATCTTCTTTTAAGCTAATATAGAAAAAAATCCTCAGTATTGCAGAGCTTGTTTGATTTTAAATGCCACCTTTTTTCTAGAAGCATACAGGGTCTTTTTCTACTCAGTGTTAAGGACATTTGGAATAATAAATGACTAGATTATCTTAGAGCTGAGAGCTACAAGGGCAGCCTCTTTTCACCATCTTGTTAACACACACTGTGACCAGGGGCTGAACACACAAGGATCTAATGCTATCCCTTCTCTAGCAAAGTTCCAGTCCAATAGAAGGACACACAGTTTTGTCATTGATTACATAGGGAAGGATACCACAGCAACATGACATTGATTTGGAAACCTGAATAAGGTAAATGGGTCACAGATGGAAATTTGAAGAGTAATAAATGCCTGCAGATGTGTCTTGAAGAATAGGAGAAGTTAACTGCATATAAAGATGGAATGGAAAGGGGTTTATTTGAAAGAAACCCATAAACAAGGATTTGGTTAGTTTGAGAAACCACAGAGAAGTGCCCAGTGTCCCAGGATAGGCATCTACTGTTTATCAGGTTGAAGATTTCTGCTGCTGAGATGTGGTCAGGGTGATGAAGAGAGCAGGTGGGATGGTGCAGGAGTCCAAGCTATGCAGGAGGCCGGGGCAGGAGGGTCACTTGAGCCCAACAGTTTGAGAGCAGCATGGGCAATGTGGTGAGACCCTACAAAAAAAAAAGAAATTGGATCCTGGAGGTGTAGAATCTGTGTGTAGCCAGAGTGGACCTTGAGTTCAGTTCCTACCACCACATACTTTTTTTTCATTGTTACTGGCTAGTATACTTACTAATTAGAGCTAAGTAGTTACCTAAATACTGGATAACATCATCAATTATTTTTAAAAACCAAGTCTAATGAGGAACACTTTTGTAATAAACCATAATATGCCTGCTCACTAAGACTGAAATTTCCAGTAGATCCTGGGAGCTTTATTTCCTGAGACAGTCCCTAAGGTAGCTTAGTAGCTCAGGTTTCACATCTGGACACACTCACTAGAATTCTACACTTTTGCTTGTAGAGATTTATTTAGACTGTGTGTGTGTGTGTGTGTGTGTGTGTGTGTGTGTGTGTGTGTGTGATTAGTCTCTCTCTCTCAGCTGACTCATGATCCAAGAGTACAAACCTAATCTATGCCCCCTACCCCCCGCTGTATCAGCTTCTAGTACAAGATCTGGTACAGAATGGTGCTTCATAAGGACATGGGGATACTGCTGCTCTTGTTCTTGTGTGTTCCACTTGCTACTATTAAGACTTGGTTGTTAGAATTTTGTCTCTACTGAGCAGTCAGGAATTGTGTTTTAAGGAAAAAAAGCAGTGACCATTTAGGTTAACGAATATGGCCTGGCCAAAGAAGTGAGAGTCACTAGTGAATTTAGAGCACTCTCAGAGCAAAGCCTAAATACTGTAAAAGGTACACACTTCGAACAGAAGCTTTTAGCTGGTGTCTAGGATAAAGACGTAAGTTCATTCCTAAAGACAAACATTCTGAGAAGAATACAGGACCATATACTCACTGGCAGGTTTCAATGCAAAATAAAAATGCAGCCCCTTGTTAATTTTTTAAACACGAGCTTTAAAAGCAAGCACAGGGCCCCTTATAAGTGCAGGCGGTGCACACCCAAGACTCTGGTCCTGCAAACACCCACAGTTACAGGTTCACAAAACTCAGTTAGAAAATTAAGGAAGGAGGTTTTATCACTAGAGAAAAGGCCTTTAAGTTTCTAGATGTATTTCCTTTTGCAGCACACTCAGATTGTGTCTTCAAATGAAACTAGACCCTTATGTACCTTTATTTGGAGATGCTATCTCACAGCTTCCAAAAGCTTAACTAAGGCAGACTGGTTTGCTTCTCTGTGTACAGTCCTAAGCTTGCCAGCCTCGGACTCCTGATTGCTCCTCAGTTGCTAAGGTCATGCTAGACTTCAGGCTTCACAATTCAAAATGTATGGATTTCAAAGCCAAGATGGGTCCAAATCCCATTACTCTCTGGGTGACTTGAAGCAAATTATTAAAAACCTCAGTTCCCTTGCCTATAAAATGGAAGTGATAGTACCTAGCCCCATAGTATGATTGTGAAGATTTAATCAAGGTGAAAAGTGCAAAGGGCTTAAGGCAAAATGCACAGAAATGAGAAGCAGGTGTCCACACACTAATTGCATTATTTATCTACTTTACATCCACCTGCACCTCCACTCTGATTCTGATCTCTGTCATTGAACCTTACAAGCAGCTTAGTTAAGTCACTATATCTCTCAGAGTCTATTTCTTGGGTGAGGGATAAGGGAGTTGTTGCAGGTGGTCCCTCCTAGCCATACCATTTGTGGGTTTTCTATGCATTCCGGGCAAGAGGGCTTGGTCTGGCTTTTCACCACCCATCCGAGGAATCACCCCGACCGGAGTCGGTGAGAGCTTAGCCTCCAAGCAGAGCTCCTCTGGGCACTGCCGCCCCCGCCCCGGCGCCGCTTGCCCTCACTACTCCGCTCTTGGCCGCGAGCCCCGCCCCGGAGCCGCCTCCCGCATCCCGCTCCCCAGGCGGACAAGCCCAAGCCGCTCCTGCTGCCGGGTGGGTGGCAGTCACGACTGTGCGGTCGCAGGCGAGGTGGCCACGAGTGCGCCGGGGCGGTGAGCGCGCTCCCCGCCCCACCGCCTGCGGAAGTGCAGGGGAGGTGGGCAGGGCCCGGGGCAGGGGCGAGGCCGGGGGAGGGCAGCGAGCCGGCACCTCGGCGTGGATGGGAGTCCCAGGGACCCGGAGCTGAGCCACCCAGCGTGACGGGCAGAGCGCGCCGAGGCAGGCGAGCCTCGCGGTTCCTCCAGGAGCCAACACCGTTCCCGCCCGGCCACGATGATCCCCCCGAGAGGCGCCCGAGAGGACGGCGTGGACGGGCTGCCCAAGGAGGCGGCGAGCGCCGAGCAGCCGCCCTCTCCTGCATCCACCAGCAGCCAGGAATCCAAGGTACCGCACACTTGCTCAAGAGAACACAAACTCACCTCTCCCTCTCTCTGTTCACCTTTTCTCTTCCCATCTGGCGCTTCCCCGGGGAGCTAAGATGCCTCCGTAGTTTGGCCTGGGCTCCAGGACCGGCCGCCCCTTGAGACTTGAATGTCCGGCACAACCCACTGTTAAAGATGCTGGACCACGTCCTGTGGACCCGGTCTTCTCTCCCGCGCAGACCCCAGCTTTTGCGCTAAGCTTCTGCTCCGGGAGCACACACAATTCACATGACTCCGGGTTCAGGGGAGGGCAGAGAAGTCTTGGTTGTTTGGTGCTTTGAACCTGCTTGTGCCTCCAAGCGCTTGTGGGGGTTAGGTGGCTTCTGGAGGCGAAGGGATGGAGACAGCCTGGGATACTTTTCCAGAAAAGCCTTGGCACCGGCCCAGCAGCCAGTGTGTTATCCCAAGGGTCTCAGAGACCCTTTGCTTAACAGGGCCCATCAGCATGTTAACAATAGTAAAAAAAAAAAAAAAAAAATCACCTAGAGAAATACTGCACTCATGAGAAAGTTGGTGTTCCTCTTGTAAGTTAATACTCTGAAAACTTACACTTGGCTTTGTAAGAGTCACACTAACATCTATACACAAAACCGACTCCATAGCGCTTCTCCTGTCACTGTTACTCTTCCTCTGAAACTCGTGTGGGTGCCAGGCACATGTTTGGAAATCTTGGAAGAGGATCAAGTAAAACGTGTCTGCTAACAGAGCTATGCCAAATGGCAAACTCCGCTGGGAGTGAAAAATCGTAAGATGGAGTTTGTAGTTATACGGATTTTGTAAGTGCAGCGCTCCTGGCTCTTTGTACAGATTTCCTTGTGAGTTTTGCAACTGAGGCAGACCCTGTCCGGTAGCAAAGGAAAAGAGGCTGCTAGTTTGGAGGGCAAGCTAGACGGGCGTGGAAAGTGCCGCCCAGTCTCCCTACACATGCATCTCTGGAAGCCACCGAGCAAATCAGCAGCATCAAAATCACAATCCAGTGGCTTGGTATGATGGCGGCCGCTGTACATTTCCCAACACCCTACAGTTAACTCTCAAAGATGGTAATCACAGAAATCTTGCTTTCTTCATTTCCATTTTTTCTGTTAATTGCTCGCTATCTCACCATGAGCGTGAGTGTCCACTATTCTAAAATTCGGCTGAAAATGAGAACAGAAGCCTCCACTTTCCAAGATCATTGTGAGAAACACATGAGATCACCAAGTTTTCATCCTGGTATAGCATAAGTTTTTATATCTTTTTTTCTTTCTGAGGTAAAGAAGTGAAATCCATTTCCCCTCAGATGATTCACTCCAAAGCAGTCTCACAGCACACATACACACTACCTCTCTTCCATCTAAAAGTTCAGGGGTTTTACACTGTCCAAAACTGACCATCAGTCTTAGAAGGGATACACGGTAGTGGCCATTTCTAAGATTATCTAAAATTTTAATTCTATTTAAAGTTATTTAAATAGAACTAAACCCATGTGTGTAATTGGTATTAAACTTTTTTGAATTGGGTCTGTTGCTCTGCAGTAGGTGTGTTAGCTTTTGGACAAACACCAGCATGGTTCAAACACACTGTATGGGTTTGCTATTTATAGACGTCCTAATGTAAATTATTTGGCAAAGCAAAAATCTTATATGTAATGCCCATAATTATCCACCAATTTATCTGCCTTGTGGTTTCAAAATTTATATGTCAGTTTTTGTCAAAGCAGTCCACACACCTGATGTGTATTTAAACATTCCTACATTTGCTGTCATGATGTAATCATCTGTAGTAAGTGGAGAAGAACAGTGGATGGACCCCTGAACCTCAGGAAACTTCATGTCATAGCATTCATGATATTTTCAAAGGGCACATACCCCTCAAAAACAGGGTAAGCTAGTGGTGTGGTAAGAGATCAGGGTGGCATAAAACAAAAGCAGAGAAAGGATGGACCCTCCTTTATTCAGACAACCACATTTCAAAGCTCATTGGCACGAACGAGAATCCTCCTCCCTGAAGATGGGAGCCTGGTAGGGAACATGTGAGCCAGACCATAGGAATCACTCCCTTTCACTCTCCTGGGAAGTAGTCTGTTTGTCAAAATACATATATTTCAACTTAGTAGAGTAAATTTCAAACCTATCACCACTAGAAATGTCAAGTAAGTGAGGTGATGCATATGTTTAGTAGCTTGATTTAATCATTCCACATTGTGTTGTATACATACAACAAAACATCACATTTTGCTCTATAAACGTAATATAATCATGATGCCTGTTACACACATCAACAAAGCTGTTTTTCAGTGTATCTCATGGAACAAGCATGATTCAGGTCACTCTGGGCATTAAACACTCTCAAGGAAGACTTTTTAAATTACTTTTCTTAAAAACTCTTTTAGTGTAAGAGCAACAAATAATGGGTGCACAACTCAGAAGTAACTACTGACAGCATTTTGATTTATATTTTACATCGCTGTCATTTTTTTATATATTCACATAGTTGAGAGAACAATAGTAAGCAGACTGAATGCTTCCTATAAGTAAGAAATCTCCTTAATCTTCAAAATATGAGTTTCTGTTCTTATTCCCATTTTATGGATAGAAAAGTAGAGGCTTAGAAAGGTTGGATGACTTACCGAAGATCATGTAGCTAGTTGAGCACACAGGCAAGACCAGAACAAGGCAGCTCAAGAGTTCTCAACTTGCCTGCAGCTGGCTTTTATGCCTGTGAGCCATTTTCTATCAGCCCCTTTCCCTTGGAGGGCTCAGGATTCTACACACCACTAAAAATCATTCGCCACATTGTGTTTTCTCATATTAAGAGATCTTTGAAAACTGAGCCCTGTGACCATGGGAAATGATTAGTAACCAATTCTTGCCTAGCTTCTTTGTATTTACTTGGGGACTTTTTCCCCGAAAGGTATATTATAGGAGTAATTAAACTGAGTATCGCAGAATCTTTTGGAAAATGGTATCATCACACACCCTCTAGTGCAAAGGGCCCAATAATGTCATAAAATATGAAACTGTCTGACTCCATAGAAACACATAAAGTATCACTGAACATAAAATGAGTTGCTAAAATATCTCCAGAAGTACATTTACTTTGTTAATGCTTTGAAATGCTAAATCAGAGCATTAAAATTAGAAATATTAGAGATAATCTATTCTAGGTATTTTTAAAGTTGTGGATCATTTAGTTGTGTAAATTTATTTTATTATGGAAAATTCCAATATACCCCAAAAAGGAAAAACAGTGTAAACAATCGTCACAGGCGCTACCACCCAACTTCAGTAATTATAATTCATAGAAAGCATGTATTTATTATTTTACATATTACCCCCTTATGATCACCAGCACCCCTTCCCCATACACTGGATCATTTTAAAGCAAACTCAGGCCATTAAATCATTCCACCTGAAAATATCTCAAGTTCCATGTCTAAAATATAAGAGTTCTTTTTGTAAATATGCCTATAATCTCATTACCACATGTTACAGGTGTTTTAAATCAAGAGCCAGTGTATTCTTTGTAGGTTCATGGATGCTCTTCAGAAAATCTGTGAATTAAGAGGACCAGGATTCAAAATTGTCTGTGAACATGCATCTGTGTATTCTTTGAGAAAGGAATTTATAGCTTTTATCAGATACAAAGGGTTTTATATATTTTATCAGATATAAAGAGTACATAGCTTTCAGTTACTACTTCAGTAACAGAAAGCTTGCTAGGGTCTAATGTGAAGGTTTAATGTGGATTCCGTTTGCCATCAATTGTATGACCCCAAGGTCACATTTCAATGATGTGGGAGGATTACACATTTAGAAATCAAATAGACAATATCTGAAAACTCTTTTAACCAGTAGCCACCTCTGTGACCATGAGCCAGTTACCTAATATCTCCTTATCTCTAAGATAGGAATACGGATATCCAATTGGCAGGACCTTCAGTTGTAAGGTGTAAGAAAGTGTAAAACACCTAATATATAACCTAAAGCACTGTTTATATTCTCTTCTTGTTTCAAATCAAAAGACTGCAACCACTAGCTAACACCAAATACCATCCCTGGAATAATTTCAATAACCATAACTGGCATCACTATAGTACTACAGAACATTCTTTCCTGGACTTGTAGTTATGCTATTGACTTCAGGGAGATTTCATCTCAATTACTTTGCATCCCCCATACCCACCAATATGTGGCTTAGATTTTGGGAGTGTGCTATAAGTCTCTTTGGAGCCATGAACCAACGTGCCCTCTGACTCTTGAAAGGTACTGTCTGAAAGAAGACTACCACCCAACCTAGGGAAAAAGCTCTAAATCTCTCAAAAGAGTTTCTGTGTCCATCAATCAGCAACTATTTATTCAGCACTTACGTTGTGCCCAGTATAGCTGATGAATGTGTGCGAAGCTATTATTGAAAACAAGTTTAACTTCTACTCAAGGGATAAGATGAAATAAACCTTGGCTTTGCATTCAAATCACTTGAGGAAGCCTGAACATAGGCTAGACATTCTAAATTGAAATCTCTGACAGTACTTTTTAAAGCTTCCTTCGTGATTTCTTATGCAGCTAACTTTGAGAAACTTTGATCTAGAGTCTGAGGATTATACAATGCCCAGGAAAGCAAAATTTAATGTCTTCCTATAACTTTTCAACCAAAGTACTTGAAAGAATCATTTGTACTCACTGTCTTTCTCGCTTCATGTTTATACTTTAATCCAGAGGAATTACTTTGCCAAAGGTGACCAACTTGTTGTCCCTAATGCTACCCAGTAATTTTAAGCATTTGTCAGAAGCTACTGTATTTACAGGGATGGCTATATCCTTTAGTTATTTCCATGCTTATTCAAGTAAAAATAATACTCAGTGCACTTAGAAAAATATAAAGAAAAAGTGCATTCATCACACAACCTCCTAGAAATATTGTGAAAATTTTGCTGTATTGATTTTCATATACATTTCCTTTTTTGTGCAGATACCCACTAAA